TTTTTTTTCATATTATAATCATATGTAAGTTTCTTTTAATGGAAAGCCTTTTTTTTTGTAAAAAAAAAAAAAATACTACTCCATTTTTCCAAAATATTTATTGACTTCGAATTTATCTCATATTGATTTATTTTTATTATTATGATAAATAAATATTTTTTCTTTTACCTCTATTATTATTCATTTACTTTGATTAATTATTCTATCACAAAAATCTCATTTTATCTTTTAACTTTTTCTTTAATAATAATATACATAAATATATAAATTATTTTTAAATCCATAATTTTTAAAAAAATTCTTTAAAAAATAGTTATTTTGAAACAAATTGAATATATATATATATACACGAGTGAGAATTCATTTACACATAATTTTTATATATTATACTTATACAAAATCTGAACTACTTATTTTTTTTATTTTTAATAATTAAAATTTATTACACTTTTTAAAAGAAAAATATAATTATTTTTTAATAAATATAAATAAATTTTAATTATTAAAAATAAAAAATAAAAAAATATAATTTTATATAAATATAATATATAAACAAATTATATATATATATATATATATGTAAATAGAGCGTGCTAGATCTTTGTAATCGTTTGCTGTATCTGTGTCTCTTGGGGATTTCTAGTTCAAGATTTCAATTGTGCCTTCTAGGAACAATTCTTTAAGAGAACTATCCAGATTAATTATATTTGCCGGTGTTTAATCAGAAAAGTTTACAGTAGTATTAGAGTTGTTATGTTCTAACTAACCTTTTAGTAGGTGAAGAGGAATTAAGAAATTTTATATACAAATAAAAGAAATAAAGGAATTTCCTTTCTCCACCGCTGTATCAGTAATGGAAAGGATCAAAATGTTTAAAATATCTCATCAAACTAATGGTTTTGAAGTTATGATGTGTCTTATTTTTGTACTATTTCATTACTATTAAAAAAATATCTCACCTGTTTATTCAATTGTCTTTATCATGAAAAAGACGATTGAGATGTCCCTAAGATCAAGGACATTGCTGTTTCGCCATCCCTTTCTTCTATATTGCTGTCAGCCATCATCAGTAGCGCTAGTACAAAGGCACAGGGTTACAGGCCCTACCCTTCTCCCCTAAAAACAATGAAAAAAAGAAGGCAAAATCCTATTAGGAAGCCCTTAAA